GCTTTAGCTGGTGACAAACAAATGGGTATGTTTTATGCATCAGGCTACATTTATTATTCACCTACTCGACAAGCAGGAGATAGAAAGCGATACTTTGCCGGTAAGTTTGATATTGCGTCCATGTATACTAACCTTCCCGTAGACAATGCCACAGGCTCTGCAATCGACATTAGCCCCAGAACCGGAGATTTAAAGGCGAATGAAGTTGGGCAGGCTGTCGATAATGATACTGAGAAACCTGGCGATACGCCGAACACATTTTACCTTTGATGGTAAACTGTACTAACAAATACGAGGTTCAGCTATGAGATCGTGTTTGCCACCAATTTTATCAACCAATTAAGGGACAAAATTTGACGAAAAATATAAATCCTTATTTTAGTTTGGTAAATAGAGTTATGAGAATACCAATAAATCAGATTAATTAAATGTATTCACCCTATTTTATTTAAGATACTAAAGAACTAGTAAAATATATAAGGCATATAATATATGAGATATATTCACCCTATTTCGTTTACGGTGATAAAGGACTGATAGAAGAAGAATTTTCCCACAATGATAGGAGTTGAACTGACGTTTCCATTGAATTTCACAGAGCCTTGCTTTCTTAAAAGTTGTTCTTATCCCGGCACCAGTTGACTACAGTTTCGACCTCGCATCGGTCTTATCAACACCCTCAGCGGGAGTCGAACCATGACAGTGTAGAATGTGACCTTGACACGCTAACCACTCGACCACATTGCCACGAGCGCCTTTTGGGTCACAGGGCAAATGTGAATTTTCAAGGAAGGCCAGGCCTTTTTGCCATATCATATTCTTTTTTGGTGGAATTGTCGATGAAGCAAACGTATATTTGCTATATCAATCGACTACTATACTTTATTTTTCGAATTAAGTATTGTTTTCGTGACTACCAGCTTCAATGGAAACGTCAGCTCAACTCATATCATTGTGGGAAAGTTCTTCTTCTACCAGTCCTTCATCAACTTAAACGAAATTGGGTGAATACAGCTCATATTACTGATAAACTGGTAGTCACGAAAACAATACTTAATTCGCTCTATAGCAGCATGGAAGAGAAAAGCTGTAGAATTTTCTCGGTTTTATGAACAGTCGACGGAGGTCAGCAGAAATCCGCCCTCGTCTTCTGGTGGGATCGACCTTCAAATCTCTTCATCAAACATTTTTACTCAAAATTGAAGTAGGCTAAACAGTACTGAACCATGCGATTACTCGAAACCCTAAATTTCTTTGCACATACGACGCGGAGCATGTCTGACCAAAGATATTGTTTGTACTTACGTCTTTGGCCAATACGTCCTTCCCTGTTAGTGGCTTTTAGCGTGCCTGGGTCATGCCTCTCCAGCCATGACGACGCTTGAGTGCGAGATGGGATTTACAATTTAGTTGGGTGTAGACGGGAGAGCTAGTCATGACGAAAGGAGCGATTGTTTGGACGTGTGTTTTCGGGCGGTTAAGGCCCAAACGATTGTTCACCGCCATTTATTTCGGTTAGCGACAAGGTTTTCAACTATAGATTCATGTGATGTAGTCATCTAAGTTGTTTGTCTCTGAGGCCGGCTGCTAAAACGTGAATGCCTGAATGGTAGTTTCTAAGACATTCTTTGGACAATTGAGCGTACACACCGAATAAGAAAAAAGGCTTTTCTTCTAAATTCACAACACACGACGCTTGGAAATTAGATTTTTATTGGGTTCACATTTTCACATTAACCATTTGCCGAGCTTGTGACGAGGGAAATTAATCATAGTGAGGGCAGAAAGACAAACGGGTTTATTGGCATTCGCTAAGAGGTAGCATTTGTGAAGAAAAATTGTCACAAATAACGGGACCCTTCTGGAAACTTGACGGCCCAAATTATTAATGGGATACTGGCATGACATACACTGACATACATTCTGATTTATGACTATCCGTATTCTGCGAGGCCTAATTAAAGAAAAGTGCACAATTCGGGCTCAAATATTTTAGCTGTTTATGGCCTAGGAGAACTGATGCGAGAATCTCATCAAAATAGTAAATCTGTATTTTGACTTTGGTGATACGGACTTATTTGACTGGGGGCGTTTCGGTAATTGAAACAGTGGCGCAATTAAGTAGCTGAGGCTCATTACGACATATAAATTGTCTATGCCATGTTGATGAGAAAAATTCCTTTAGGGCTCAAGAAAGGCTGTTGTGCTGATATATAATAATTTTATCAGAAATTTTTAAATAAATTTGCCTTTACTTGCCCTTTGCATAAGTTTAGGCCTTACTATATCAGCTTCTTAGCCTTGACAACTATATCGTATCCTAGTTGAAGAGGAAGCCAGGCTGTGATGATAAAAGAAGAAATAGATTTCGTCTCTGTCGACGTGAATCACAGTCTTCGTCTGGTTCCACAGGAAACGAAAGAGATACGGATCGAGATCTAGTGAAGGTAATGTATGATTATATGAGTTTCAACTTGCCTCCTGAAAAGCGGTTCTGGCCTCTTCATCACATCGGCTGCCAAAACGAGATTCCAAACATGGAAGTGCGTATGAAGAGGCAAGTAAATTAACCCATAAGCAATAGAAGTTTAGGTAGTTTGTGTTACACGAAATTAGTCAGCATTATTTACTGAAGAATATTGAAATAATGGGTGACTGTGCGTTTACCATTGACCTTGAAACAGTACTGATTTGAAGAGTCAGTAGCATATTTCATTTCTAGGCTATCTGAAGTAATGTATAATAAATTAATATATTTAATATTAGCATTATAACCGAAAGACATTTGAAAGTGGAATACCTAGAAATCAACCTGTCTTTGATGGTCTAGAAGCAAATAGTATCGTTAACAATATGAAGTAATGTGTATATGCGATGGCGTTTTCGCCTGAGGCACGCGTAGACACATTACATAGCTAGCCGAAGCATGAGGGCTTTAATAATATAATTTAATATAGTGTATGCATTGTATATAATATAATATAGTATATTACGCAACATTAGTATGTATAGAGACCTGAGTGAATTCGCTATCAGTTTATTACAATAATATAATATAGCATAATCAAAGAATATAATATATGATAATACATTAGAATATAGTATTGTATATATTATTGGTATCAGTATTATAATATCATATATATGGTATAGTAATTATAGTAAAGTATATCTTAGTGTATAGTATAATCCAGTATAATATATGATATCAGTGTAAGAATATATTAATATCAGAATTATATTCGGTAGATAGTCATGACATGTATGCCGAGAAAACAACCCGCCTCTTTATAGCCTAAAAGCAAAAACTGTCACTAAACCCATGAAGTAATGTGTCTGTGCTGGAGAGACCTATATACATATAAAACGCCTAACAAAAGCCTGAGTGCTTACGTTATCAGTTTAATAATAAAATATAATATAGTATAACACAATATAAAATAATTATCTATTGTCGAAGTACAGTATATAGTATGGTATAGTATAGTATAGTATAGTATAGTATAGTATAGTATAGTATAGTATAGTATAGTATAGTATAGTAT